ACTTAGTTTAAAAAAAAAGAAATATAAACATCAAAAGAAAAAAGCACATCAACAGAGAAATCTAATGGAGTAATTCAATTGAATAAAATAATTCATACCAGCAGTAGTGTCATGTGTTGAACCAGTACTCGATGATGTACTAGGCAAGCTACCTGGAGGATACCATGACATGAAGCAAGGGTGATAGAAAAAAATCACCTGATTCATTCTACTTCATAGATAACTTGTTGGTGACATTTTCAATCTATATGCAGTATGAAATGCTTAATAGATAGTATTTTACCCATATAAATTAACATGTAGCTCCTATAGTGCAGATATACAACCAATGCCCTCACCCATGACCAAATACAAATGTCCAAGATAGTAAAAAAAAATAATAGAAATTCAAAGTTTACGTAGAAACAACATTAAGGAAAGGAAAACCACCAGAATTGAATTTTATTTTATTTATAAATAAAAAATAACTAGAAACCAAGATATAGACCTTACCTTCATCAGCCACCACCTCTACATGATTTTCATTGTCAATTACTTGAAATGATATGTTTCCCAGCCACAACACTGCAGCAAGCATTTCAAACGCATTGTCTTGGTCTTCTTTGCAAAGTCGAACAGTATCTAAGGCTTCCTGTCAAAGTAGAAAAAATAAATAAAATTAAAAATAATTAGGACACAGAAAGAACAGAGAGAAGATTTCACTGTTTAGTGAAGTCTAATTACCATAAGCGTTTGAAATTTCCTATCATCATCAACATCATAAATTGCCAAGCAGCCACTCTGACTTAGATAATGGAACTCAACAGCCGATTTTAGATTCAGTCTATCTGTAAAGAAATATATGACACGAAGTCAGAGACCATAAATTTTCTTAGGTTGTAATTATATAGCTGATATAGAGAACCACATCATATATCTCATCAGAAATGTCTCAAGGAGTTGATGTTTTACAGCACATATGCAATCATAAAAATTGCTCCTTGGCTTTAGTAAAATTAGAGTTTGTATAATACATATTACCCGAGTTTGGGAGTAGGCGAGATTGGGTGTGAGAGTTTCAGAAGTCCCCATCTGTTCCACCCACCTATTGCGGAGTCACCTGTTCCCATTGCTTAGCGACTCCCCTTTCCCCATACCCCCTTAGACTCTGTATTTAGTTTATGAATTTAAGAAAATATGTAGAAAGAGAAATGGAAAAACTGTGTCAAACGTAAGTGAAATGTAGTTATATTTTATTCACATTTCATTTATCTTTTTCCTTTCCCTTTCCAAATATGTGAACTAAATAAAGAGTTAGGGGGAGTAAGCTAGATATAAAACTGTATTTCAGTTCTAAAAAACAAAAATATTATTTCATACTTACAAGACCGACCTAATGTATTCTACAGCCCATTTTACCTTAATGTAAGAGCACCAATCATGTTATTAAGGGCAGCACAAACACCATCATGTGCTTTAGGATAGAATGGACTCGTGCGAAAAAAAGAGAAATAAAACATGTTATGTCTAAATTACCTCCTGAGTCGTTTTACCAGCAATCTGATGCCTTCCCCTTTCGATTGCAGGGACCTACTTTAGTCTCAATAAAATGGGGAACAATGTACAAACAACAATTTCCTATTTGAAACCCAAACAAAATTTCATAATTTTAAATGTATCACAAGATTTCTTCTCATGTTGATGCACTGAAGAACTCTTGGCCGCTAGCCTAGGTCACACAGCCAAAGTCGAAGTTACTCTCCGATAAAGCTACAATGGAAAAAAGTAAGTTTCAATGCATAATAATTTCCAAAGTTTCAATGCATAATAATTTCCAGTGTAGATATGTATATTATTATCAATGAGTTTGAATTCTTATACCTTTTAAGAATCCCCAATATGTGTTACTTTTTCACTTCCGAATGGAAAGGTCGACGTGCAGGTAAGCTACACAAGCCATGAAAAAGAAGAAAAACACAGATGCCAACATCAATGGCTCGGCGAGCATGAATATTGGGTTGAAGCTGTAGTAAACCTGCAATAGAAGATATCAAGTGAACATAAATGCATAGATAACTTGTTGGTGACATTTTCAATCTATATGCAGTATGAAATGCTTAATAGATAGTATTTTACCCATATAAATTAACATGTAGCTCCTACAGTGCAGATATACAACCAATGCCCTCACCCATGACCAAATACAAATGTCCAATAATGTGGTTTTTTTTTTTAATCTAATTTTGAATAGAAATAAATTTAAAAAGTAAATTTAAAAACTTGAAATATGAAAGATTAAAAATTTTAAGAGCCAGTGTGCGAAAATAACCAAACATAAAAATAACAAAGTATAATTTACCTAGCATAAAACAAATATCTTCAACGCTTCATCAAAATTTTCATCAAATTTGAGTAAAAATTTGATAAAAAATTTGACCTGATATGATGCACTCCAATAGGTTTCATCAATTGGGTAAAAGTAGTCGCTCGGTAAAAGTAAATTTTCATCCTAATTCATCCCAAACCCGGTTGTCTGGAAAGACGTCCAGCTCAATAATCACCCACAAATTTGATGAAGAATAAAGCACTCTTTTGATTTGACGAAAAAAGTAACTCGCCCTTCATTTGATATAGGTTTGATGCCATGGTTGGAGCGGAAAAAGTGGGCAAGGTTTGATGCCTCTTCATTCCAACATCCAAACAAACAGATAAAAGATTAAAAACATGTTGGGGGATGTTTAGATGGGCACAAGAAGCACAACATTCTCAGATACTACAATGGAGGCTGATCTAATTGCATTTGAAAGACAACATTCTCTCACTACAGGAAATTCATTTTTTAGCGGCGTTTTGAAAACGTCGCAAAAAGCCTGAAAAACACCGTAATATCTTATAGTGACGTGTAAAATTTTTGCCGCTAATAGGGCCGCCGCAATAGCTATCCAACGTTTAAAAACGTCGCTAAAAATATTAGACGACATTTATTAAAACGCTGCAAAATCTTTAACGACCGTCTCACCCTCCGTCCCAAATTAACGTGTGACGTCACAATGACGTCATTTAGTGGCATTTTTTATTTTTTTAATTTGTGCTACTCCCTACAATGACGTCATTTTGTGGCGTTTTTTCAAAAAACGCCCCTTTTTCTTTTTTTTTTTTTATTTTTTTGAGGGGGGATTCTAAATTAGTGCAGTTGCAAGTATACCTAGAATGAATATGTTCACATTTTATTTTCTGTCATTTTTTCCAAGTGTAGCATTTTAAAACCTGCAAATCAAGTAATGTTCTACATTTTAAAACCAATAATTCATCAATCTCTTGATCTCTATGGGTTGTTCACCCCTTATTCAACATCAGTGATTATACCCAACAACAAAGTATATCTGGATCTCTGCAATTCAAGTCATGCCCCATAACAACACAATATCATTGACTCTATTATCCAAAACATGTAGTTCATTTATAGCTAATTACAAAGTAACTTGGAAAACAAAACAGTTCTGATTTACAAAAAAATGAAAAAAAGTATCGTCTGTGTTTCCTAAATCGCTCCGGACTTAGGGAGCAAGCAAATCATATCTTTGGTAAGAGCAGCAATTTTCAGATTCTGCGTCTCCCAATTCTGTGGTGCACTGTGCACTATATTCGTCACTTGCTATTAAGCCGAACGCAATGAGCAGCAAAAACATTTCTGCAAAATCTGATGTTTTGTAGCACAATGCTCTTGTTTATCAACCTCTTGTAGTCTGAAAACTCCAAGTTAATTGCATTTCTCACCAATTATATTGAAAATATCAGCGACAAAAGCACTCTCCACAAAGCATCTCTCACCATTCCACCTAAGGGAAAGCAAATAAATGCAGCAAAATATCAGGTGAACACCTTCCCAATGCTGAATATTTTAATACAAATTGGTGATGATCTAAATCCATATGCAATAGCCAAGTCAATCAAAGACTTAAAATGTTTATGACCATGCACATCATAGAACTCAACTAACTAGACTGAACCTGAAGCCAATCAACAAATAACATTAACAAAGAAATGTAAAACATCAAAAGAAAAAAGAACATTAACAAAGAAATCTAATGGAGTAATTCAATTGAATAAAATAATTCATACCAGCAGTAGTGTCATGTGTTGAACCAGTACTCGATGATGTACTAGGCAAGCTACCTGGAGGATACCATGACATGAAGCAAGGGTGATAGAAAAAAATCACCTGATTCATTCTACTTCATAGATAACTTGTTGGTGACATTTTCAATCTATATGCAGTATGAAATGCTTAATAGATAGTATTTTACCCATATAAATTAACATGTAGCTCCTACAGTGCAGATATACAACCAATGCCCTCACTACAGCACATATGCAATCAAAAAATAAATCAAGCTAGTAAACACAATTGAACAGAAGGGAAGCATAAAAAAAATTGCTAAATAAATCAAGAAGTTGATGTTTTACAGCACATATGCAATCATAAAAATTGCTCCTTGGCTTTAGTAAAATTAGAGTTTGTATAATACATATTACCCGAGTTTGGGAGTAGGCGAGATTGGGTGTGAGAGTTTCAGAAGTCCCCATATGTTCCACCCACCTATTGCAGAGTCACCTGTTCCCATTGCTTAGCGACTCCCCTTTCCCCATACCTCCTTAGACTCTGTATTTAGTTTATGAATTTAAGAAAATATGTAGGAAGAGAAATGGAAAAACTGTGTCAAACGTAAGTGAAATGTAGTTATATTTTATTCACATTTCATTTATCTTTTTCCTTTCCCTTTCCAAATATGTGAACTAAATACAGAGTTAGGGGGAGTAAGCTAGATATAAAACTGTATTTCAGTTCTAAAAAACAAAAATATTATTTCATACTTACAAGACCGACCTAATGTATTCTGCAGCCCATTTTACCTTAATGTAAGAGCACCAATCATGTTATTAAGGGCAGCACAAACACCATCATGTGCTTTAGGATAGAATGGTCTCGTGCAAAAAAAAAGAGAAATAAAACATGTTATGTCTAAATTACCTCCTGAGTCGTTTTACCAGCAATCTGATGCCTCCCCCTTTCGATTGCAGGGACGTACTTTAGTCTCAATAAAATGGGGAACAATGTACAAACAACAATTTCCTATTTGAAACCCAAACAAAATTTCATAATTTTAAATGTACCATAAGATTTCTTCTCATGTTGATGCACTGAAGAACTCTTGGCCGCTAGCCTAGGTCACACAGCCAAAGTCGAAGTTACTCTCCGATAAAGCTACAATGGAAAAAAGTAAGTTTCAATGCATAATAATTTCCAAAGTTTCAATGCATAATAATTTCCAGTGTAGATATGTATATTATTATCAATGAGTTTGAATTCTTATACCTTTTAAGAATCCCCAACATGTGTTACTTTTTCACGTCCAAATGGAAAGGTCGACGTGCAGGTAAGCTACATAAGCCATGAAAAAGAAGAAAAACATAGATGCCAACATCAATGGCTCGGCGAGCATGAATATTGGGTTGAAGCTGTAGTAAACCTGCAATAGAAGATATCAAGTGAACATAAATGCCATAGCCATTATGAAATATATATAAGTCATAAAAAATAAATAAGAGAGAGAGAGAGAGAGAAGGAAATACTCCATGCTGGGTGGAGGAAACACACAAACACACCAAATGGGAACAGTTAATTAGTCTTTGTAGCCAGTGATGTCTATAGAATCAACGGTGATAGCAAATCGGTGACAATTATCCTGTTAAGCATGGCCTAACCTAAGAATTAGACCCATAAAAGGTAAAAGATAAGTAAACTCAACCTATCAAAACCATTCATAATTTTAGCAAAAGGTCAAAGAATGAAAAACCTCAATGGCCATGATCATCACTGCAAAGAATTACCAAATTAATATAATCAAGAGATGCCTTGACTTCATTGCAACAAGAAAAATATGCCTAGTATAAAGCTATACTTTGCATCTAGGGTGAATCCGATGGCAGTTCCAGTTTCTCTCCAATAATAACACCATTACTTGGGTTCGCACTATTCTCCTGTCCATGTAAATGATAGAGGCTGTATGAAAGCTAGAATAAAAGGTGGACCCAAATAGAACTTGCATTAAGGTCGAAAACTATGTGGGTGATAAAGAGCAAGTGGGTTGGTTGTGGAGCACTTGGACATGGTAGGCACTGAGATGACGAAATCACTTAAGGTGGGCAGGGTGAGAGTTGACATGGTCTTAGGAAAAGAAAGAGAGAGTGCAGTAACAGTAGGCCAGAGAAGTGTTGAACCAGAGTCTCCAAGTTGTCAGGCAAGGATTAAAACTTCATTTTGATGTATAGTTTTGCATAGGCTATGGCATCGGCGTCCATGGTGGGCCAATACTAATAGTAATTGAAATGGAACAAGTGCTCAAACAACTTGGCTCTGCTTTGGTGTTCAGCCTCGTGAACTTTCTCAAGAACCTGGGGAATTTCAATGCCCACTAAACACAAGGGGATTGTTGTTGAAACCTCGGCACAAGAGCTTGGTGGACAAAGAACCAAAGCACTAAATTCTTGATCACAACATCAGTGCGATTTGAAGGGAGGGACCTCTTTGTGAGCAGGGGTAGAACAACATAGGGGCCAAGAGGGCATAATAAACTATATTATAAAATGTAGTTATTTCAAGCCGAGTAATACCATGTAAAAAAGCTACCTTGAGAACAAAAGCATGTCCTCATCAGCATAGAGGAAGATGGCGTGAAAATTGAATTGTCAAAAAAAACCCAAGGTAGACTCAAATTACAAAGTTTTGATGCAAAACATCATAACTAAATTATAGAACACTATCTACAAACTGCCCTTGAACACTATCTCCTGTTACCACAAATCTCAAAGACGGCCAACTAGCCATTGTATAAACTTAAATTTGGGTAAACCACTAAAATCCCCCCCAACCCATTTCCTTTACTCAAATATCTATCCAATCAAAACTTGACAGGTGCTTTTACCCAAATTTGCCAAATTCTCCTTTACTCCCAACTCCTAGCATCCGCTCAAAACTTGACTCTTGGCAGTTTTGCTCT